TTTTTTATTTATTCAATAACTTATATACTCTAAAATTTAATTTATCTAAATTGAAACTGTTTTGATTTTTCTTTAGGTAGAATCAAAACAACAAATAACTATGGTTGTTTTGTTCACCATACGAAATCACATTAAAATCTAAATGATCTCACTAATTTTAGATATAAAACATGGAGAAAGGTGTTGATCAACTGGCTTTTAGCTCTCTTCATGTCAATCAATTTTGAGAAAACTGACACGAGGCTCACAATCATCTAGTTTGGATTAAAATCTATCGGTTTACAATTCGGAAAAGCAAAAACAAATTCTCATCAAATTAGAAATTTTGTTTGATTTCAATCTTTTTTTTTTTTTAATTTCAATTTTGGGTTATGAATTTTTCTTTCACGTTTAAAAAATAGTTTTATACAGCAATTCCTGACCCATAGTTGAAAAAGGAATTCAATAGAAGTAAAAAGAAAACTTTATCTTGCTGGATATAATGTTATTGGTTGGTAATTGTTGTAAGTTGTGGTAGTGAATTGATTAGTTTCATTCCTATATCCTCAAATAGAAAGCTATTTTACCTGTTGGTCCGAGTGGAAGGAGCTCGGTTCCTCTTAAGTAAGATCTCGAGTTCAAGTCTTGTGAATGGAAAAAACAAGTGCTGGGAAAGCTTCTCCCCATATGGGGTCCGACCCGGCTCGATTCCGGATTAGTCAGGCCCAATGTGGTTTCTGGATACCGGAAGGTTAGTACCAAAAAAAAAAATAGAAGGCTATTTTGGACCATATAACAGAATAGGATACTATTTACCAAACTTTCAACATGGTGCTCGACCTAGATAAGGCTTAAAAAAAATTATAATTGATGGCATTTTTACGTAGAAGTTGCATGGAATGAACATTTAGAGTTTGGAAGGCTAGATGAATGATACTAAAAGCAATGCTGCCATATCCATTTAAAGTGTAAAGAGATATTGTAATTGCATCTATAGCTTCATATAATTTTATTTAAAGAAAAGTTGTACCAAATTCTGCATATATCAGATTTGATCAAAATTTAAAATATATACTAACGGATATATTTTAAAATTTACATAACAATTAACATGATGAAAGAATTTCTCAAAGAAATTTTTTCATTGGAACAACTCTAATAAATGAATTAGTTAGATGTTAGTGAAAAGTGAATTATTAATGATGATAACTTTTTATTAGTTATGTTAATGTTTTTTCATTTTTACTTTGAATTTTAGAGTGACTTTATTTATTGCTGTGCCCTTTTTTTATTCTTTGGTGGGTTTTGACGAGCTAATTGTTGAAATGAAGTTTACCGTCAGCCCCATAATGTAAATATTGACAGTTAGTTTATTTTACGTGGGGGGTCTTTTTAACGCTTAACACATGGTGCAGACACCACAAGGGATGCGTCGATGTGTCGATGCCAAACCCATGTCAGGCTTCAGACCCTCTCGCAATTTCTTTAATTGTAAAATGGCAGATTTAGTCCTCCAGCTTTTACATAATGAGTTCTTTGATCTGAAACTTTGGATCCATTCAATTAGATCTTTCTTCTCAAAATTCAGTCACTTGACTTTCAAAAGATATTCAATTAATTCTAAAAAGTCTTATTATTATGCATTCAAGTCTTTTTTTGCACAAAAAATAAAAACTAAGTCAAATCTATTGAAAATCACATCTTATTCATGCCAATAATGACAAAATTAAGTCTAAAATAATAAATTAAAGCATATAAAATACATTTCATTAGTTTTGAGGTTAAGAAAATATGTTGTTGTTGTTATTATTATTATTATTATTATTAAGAAGATTAAATAACAAATTTAACTAACAAGAAATATATTTCTAATGGTGATTTAACATGCTATTAAAATTAGCTATTTGCTTTGTTACCAAACATGAATTACAAACAACAACAGTTATTAACTATTAACCATTGGTTATTAGTTTTCAGCTATCAACTATCTATTAAACTTTAACGGTTAATCCAAATAAGACCTAAGAAAAAGAAAAAAAGAAAAGAAGAAGAGAGAATAAGAAGATAAATTGTCATTAATTTGGGCATAAGGAGTCTGTTTTCTTAATTGAACCTATATTTAAGCTCATTTCTTTGGTGACACCCAAGTTCATAACACCTAGAGGTGACCTATACTAAATGTTAGATAAAGAATTTCATAACTTAGTTGCTTGACAATTATCCATTAAAAGGATAAACTACCAATAAAAACTTAGCTAAATACCTATTTACTAAGTTAAGAATCGAGTTCAAGGTCACATGTTTAAAGCTGTATTTGAATTTGTACATCTAGTGTTGTCTTCTTTGGTGCAAAACAGACGAAAATAATATCAACAGAAATCACACATCTCTGTGTTGTTTACATGGAAAATGTGGTGCAAAAGAAAACAAAAAAACTTGTGCACGAGATGTACTACTTTAGATAGGGTCCTTAGTACTGGTAAAAATCCTATAGCAGATAAAAAGAAATGCATTTTCCCAAGTCAAGATCTACAATATCATTGTGACGCCCTCAAAATTCATATTAGGAAGTGTAGATTCTAATCCGTATTGACATTGGTGAATCAAATTCTCTTCTGGCAATTAACAAGCTTAGCAGTGTTGACTCTTCTTTTTCTACTCTTGGAGCATTAGTGATGATAGAGATTATTGGTTTAGCATTTTCCCATTTACAGGGTTCCTTCAAGCACATCTGTAGACTTGATAATGAACTTACTCATTCGAAAATTTGCTCATCTTCCTT